TCAATTTCAAGCATGCTTTACTTACAGCTGTGGAGGGGAGGAAAACAGGAGACGGCTGCCCTGGCACTCTGTGGGCACTGAGCAGCTGAGGGCTTTTGCAGCAGAGTCTTGACACTGCTCTGGGGACACTGTGTTGGTTGGGACCAGCTCCGAGACCAGCTCTGGCTGGATAGCTGGAATGCACTTTGCCAGGGTAATTTTCAGCCCTTCCCACTCCTAACAGTCAGCTGACTCCAGGAAATCTCACAGCAAAGTACTAAGATGGTCCTCTCTCCGGGTCAAGCTGCCAAGGAGGGTGCAGAAGGGGAGATGGATCTGCTTCGCTACATCGCAGGAGAAGGGATGTTTACTTTGGGTTGGTTTTTGTCGTGCATTCTGAAAGGGCATGGTAGGATATCATAAATGACATCACACACTTCCAAAATGCATTGAAAAAGGCACATATACAATAAAGCATATATCTAATTATACGATACCACATATATCAATATACTTTCTCAGGATCTCCAGCTGCCCTAGACTGCAGGCCATTACTATCACCCAGTTTTGTTTTTAAACGATACTAAGCCAAGCTAAGATACAAATTTCTCGCGTCAAAGCCAATTTCATCTCATTTTTCCTAAAAACCCACACTGAGCTTAGATAACTCAGGTATCAGTGCAGCATCCCTTCTCCCTCCTCGTTAAGTTATAATGCACAGCAAGAGCTACGGAAAGGAGTATTATCTAGCGAAGGAACTGTATTACTGCAGCTCCTGTCCCCTGCTGAAATAAGCACCTTTCCCTTAATTATCTCCAAATTTCTTTCTGGAGGAAGGTGTGTCTGTTGCCTGGCTTCTTTCAATGGGGCTTCTTTTCAAATATGAAAAAGCCAGATCAGGACCTAGACAACAAGAATAATGTCCTATTAAAGGCTAGTTTGGAAGGGTTTGGTTTAATTCCTGGCCTCCTTTTCTGCCTCACAGCCCCAGTTTAGGAATATCCTTGTAAAGAGAAATTTGGAAACTCTTAAAATTGACAATTTCTTCACCTTTCACTAACTGTACTTCAGCTCCACATGGCTATTTCGTGAGCTGTGTCCTCACATTGTAGAAACTACTACTATTAAAAACTCAGTCCAATTAACCCATTTAGATTCTTTCTCTCTAATACAAACCAATAGAGGTTAATGCCTTGACACCTTTCACATCACATCATAGATGGAAGCACTTTTTAAGGAGAATAAAATTGTTTTAATCTCATAAGCTACTGAGTAAAGAGCTGGCTTTACTGAAAAATGCTATATATTTTGATGTGCACTTCTAACTGATTGCAAAAAGAGCTGGCTGTAAAATTCATTAGCCATAACAGCAGATATATAGATAATGCCCTTTGCTCTAAGAATATGGATCATACCAAGAGCAGAATAAGCAGTCACAGTTCTATTTCAATTAATAGGCTTGTAATACTCTAAATTGAGTCAGAATCTTACCATTTTTGATGTAAAAAGAAGTGAAAGGGTTTACTGGCAGGGATGTATGCAGAAATGGCACTTTTTTTTTTTAATGAAAATGGGGAATGTTCACAGGAAGCCAATTCTAAATTTGCAAATACATGTTTTTAACTGGAAACCTGATTCCAAGAATTTCAAGAGGGTCCAATAAAAAAATCAGCCAGGTTCAATTTCCAACACCAAATACTTAGAACAAATGGATCCACAGGTCAAGGATTATCTACTGAAATTCCTAGTACACTGTGAATGACTAATGAACTCTACAAAACTCAAGAGCTTTTCTTAGAAATTTGTAGAGAGCAAGCAAGAAAAAAAAAATCTCTGAGGTCCCATTTTGCACACTTCTGTGTAGGGGTAAACTGCTTTATATAGAACTCTCTAATAATTTTCAGTAGGAAATGAATGCTAAAATAAATGCTAGTCCAAAAATTCGTTCAAAATTCAAAAGAGAATTTAATCTTTCTCTTTTCCCTAGCTTTAGGATGAAAAATTTCAGTGAGTGTTCAGAAAAGGACACTGATGATACAAATGAATGCAACCCCTCAGCTTCTCGCTCTCCAGAAAATGCTGGTTTTGAAGGATAACTAAACCAGCCTGTCACCCCACTGCCTCCCCAGTTCTCCGTGCCTGTGACACCAGGACATGGTAGTACTCACATACAGATCTTGCATGCTACCATTGGAACAAGAAGCTGGGCTTAATTGAAGCCAGCTACAAAGCCACTGAGCCTCCTCATCTGATCTTTTAAAGGTCTACAGAGTATACACTACAGGAGGTATCAATGAGTCATCAATGAATGAAAGTGCATGCTAACAAACTGCAGATATAATTGCAATCAACTTGTGGATACACAAGAGATTCTCTGCCTTTCCTGTATTCTGGTGCTTTTCCAAACACAGGCAATAGTTTTAAACACTTTTTCCATAGTGCTAACTATTCCAAGAAAGCATAGCTCATCTTCTATCACTGATCACAGAGGGGAGAATGGAGTGTTTTTGCCTGGAGACTGGAAGGAATTGCCAGCAACCCTTTTCTCTGGCTCAGGCACATGTCTTTCTGGAGGCCCATGCAACCATGCAAGCCTTGTGACCTTTGGCCCAGCAGCTTTCCCTTTGCACATTGTTCTTAAAAGATCTTTCCTAAATCAGGAGAAATTACAACCACTGTTTTTTTTTTTTTTTGGTGGTATGCTGTAAAAGCAACCCCCCTTTTCTGAATTTCCAAGCACATCCTGATGCAGAACGTGGTTGGCCGCCTCCTAAGCCAACCTTCATAGCTGCAGAGAATCGGCCATATGGGACAAAAGTGATGCCCTCCAGCATCTCCTTGTTTTTCTCCTGCACAAACTCCTTTGATTGCAGCAAGCACAAGAAAGTCAGCATGGTCTGGAGGACGGCAGCACTTCATCTGCCTGAGTTTCCTCTACATTAGTACAAAGAAAGAAGAAGGAGGAGGAACCCAGCTGGAGGAACAAGAACAATGTTGGGAATAAGTCTTTAAATCTGTCTCTCCAAAGCCCGTATATTCCAGCCTTGATAGCTCTCACATTACACAAGATGACATTTCTCTCTATATTGTATTATAATTAATAGGCTACTGCAAGACTTTACCAGCTCCTACTTAATAGCATTTCAGTGCTGGGAAGCAGTCATCAGGTAATCTGGCCATGATCTACTGTATCCTTTCTAAACACAGGTTCTAGCTGCCAAGAATGTCACCATAAAAAGATTTCAATCAATACCACTCAGCTCCTACTTTCAAATGCTCCAGGTCCAGGAAGAGAAGAAGAAGAAAAAAAAAAAAACCACAACAGTACCCTCAAAACGAACAGCAAACTGGCATATGCATTGAGTACGCAGATTGAAATGAGCAGATGGGAATTCATTATGGCCTGATCTTGCTCTATCTTTTATACTTTAGTAACTTTATACTTTGGAAAAGGTCTCACCAAGCGCATGGAGATGGTGTGCACGGAGGGGGTTAAACCCATGCAGATCTTGCCATTCTCAAGCTGTGCTCTTGTTGCCAAACAACAACATTTCAATTGTGATTGGTACAAACAGTTGGGTTTCAACGACAATCTGTCACGTAGGTTTAAGCTCAGTTTTTACTGATGCAACCTGCAACTTGCTGGATGGTTGCGGACTTTGTTATTTATTGGGAGAGAAAGAAAGGAAACAAAACAGACTGGTGGGTTTTTTTCTCTTGTCCAGTCTGTAATTCAAGGACTTGTTCTGGAATTTGTTTCTCTGTTTGTATTCTCTAGAGTGAAATTAACAAATGAGGAATAAAAGTGAAATCCGCAAATCCAAATCAAAGCACAGCACCTGCATCTCCTGTCACACTTTCTAAAGAAGTAGGGAAGTTCACATGTGACCTGTTCATTTGCAGGGCTTCTGCGCTCTCCGAGAGCAAAGGCTATCCAACAAAATCCGCCAACACTTCCACCTCTAAATTCAAACAGAACTGATGACTTAAAAACAAAAGGAAGTCACTGGTTCAGCAAATTAGCAAATAAGATGTCACCAAGAGAATAACTGGTCAAGGCTCGGATCCTGATGTAGCTGAAGTAATTGGGGCAGTTCCACTAAATTCAATGGAGCTAAGAGGATAAATGCTGGCCGAGGACCTGGCTCCTAGCGTGTTCCCAGCTGCAAGTCTTAGTTTAGGCTGTAGCCAAGAGGTTAACACTGTGATAATAGAATGAGAAAGTATTTATATAGGTATATATAGATATAGAATTATATTTAAAGAACACTTTGCTACTGGTACTTTTGTCATTTTAAAGTCCATAATTTTTAAATAAAATTATTTCAGAACAGCAGCAGAACCTCTTGAGTAAACTACAGACTCTCTCACCCACTCCTAGGCCACTTACTGTTCTAGAAGCAAGTTTAAATGTTATTTCTAAATGCTATTTCTTAAAACATAGGGTGCAACTAAATAAGTAAGGCTCCCAAGGGTCTCTAAGAAGCCAGTGAGTCAACACATAGGCATGGAGTAACAGCAAATCAACAATTCTAAAAAAGGTGCTTCATAATTTAAGGAAAATAAAAATACAAAGCCTCAGACTTACCACAGAAGGCCCTCAGACTTATGAAACTGAACTGCTGTAATATGGTACAGTGTTAAGACATAGGGGTTTTTTTGTTGTTTTTACATTCTAGAGGGGCAATACACACTGAACTCAGGAAAACAGCTCACTCTAGAGAGTAATTTTGAAAGGAATATTGACTTTGATTCATGCTCCTAAAACCGTAACAGTTTTGCTTTAAAAATAGTTGTTCATTCTGCAGAATAAAGTTCCTCCCTTCTCCTCCAGCCACCAAAACCCCGCACCGTATCTACACATTTGAAAGAAGTTCTCCTCTGAAATGTTTCTACCTATTCATCTGAAATTGTAAATGAGTGGCATCTGGTTGGGACTTTAAAGCACCTATAGCAGGGTTGAACGATATCCCAAAATAGGACACAATGTACAGCTGACTGAGACAGAAAGGGACTGCCTTTCAATTCCCACAGAAAGCGAGGCGGGTCACTCACAAAAAGTGACGGCAACAACAAAGCCCTCTTTCATCCCTTCCCTTCCTTCTTTCCATTCTTAAGCTGGGCAGAGCAAATGAGGTTGGGTCCACAAAAAAAAATAAGGTTAATAATAATAATTAAACAACAGCAACAACAACAACAGCAACAACAACAAAATAGGCGTCTCAATGTCTGAGGAAAAGTGGGATTGTAAGTGCAGTATTTCTTCATGTGCAGTTCTTCTACTTCATACGAGTCCCCTTTGGATGAGAAGGCCTAGTGGAATGTGTGCTCCCCTCGGACTATGTGCGACGAGAACTCATAGCGGTCCTGGCTTCGGTAGCCACAGATGTTGCACTCTAGCGGGTCCCGGTAGCCATGGCAGCCCATGTGGATGGTGTACATGACATGGTCCAGGAAAAGGACGCGACAGTGCTCGCACTTGAAAGCCCTAATCTGCTCCCCTTCTCCGTTGATGACCTTGTAGATATCCTTTAAAGAGCCCTTAGAAGCTTTTGTGGCATCCAAAGCCTTGGCGTCCTCCTTCATATAAGCCGGGCTTGGTTTTCTCTTGGGATTTAAGGCAGAGTTTCCTTGGTAGGACTGGCGGTCTTCGTGGCTGCTCTCTGAGTCAGTAGAATCCAGGCAGCTATTGCTGGGGGAGCCCTCTCTATCCTGGGTTCGACTCTTTGGTCTGATGAGGGAGATTGGGCCATCCATGTTGTTCTCATGACTGTCAGCTGTTTCCCTGCTAATGGGCCTTTCTATCCTGTTAGGATGATAGACCTGAGCGTAAGCTGAGCTGATGACCGGGGCCACCTCTGCAATTGTGCTTGGTGTGTGCTGCATCAGGGGGTGAAGTGTGTCAGCTCCAAGGTAGGTGATTGCATTGTTGATGGCTTGGTCCATCATGTGAGACTGCATCAGCTCAGCCTCCTTCTCATAGGTTAGGTTCATATCAAAGGGAATATCTGGATAGCCAAATCTCATGAGCTTTTCACCTAAGAGACAAAAGCAAATGAATTAGAAAAATCAGTGTGATCACTCCAAGGTTTCACTGTAAAAGGGGTGGGGAGGGATAGAAAACCCCTGTTGTGGGGTGAAATTCATTCCAGAGTCCAAAGTTAGCCTCATTCTACTTGTTTACTGACCTCCTACAAAGTTCCTGTCCTGAGATGGATAAAACAGCAACTTCACCAACAGCTTTTTTTTTTTTTTTTTTATTCCAGGTGAAGCATGTGGCTGCAGCGAACTCCAGATCGATTCCAAACCTTCACTCTGCCTGACTGTGCCCGTGCTTCGAGTTAGGAAATACATGTTAAGTGGCAGAAAATGGGATAGAACCACCAAGGTCAATGAAGCTCCATTGGTTTATACCATCAGACATACTCTCCCAAAATTAAAGGAGGCAGTTCCACATGTCCCCCGCACTCTGAGGTGCCTCATACATACCTTACAACAGGACTGCATCGTGAGAAACCTAAGCAACAGGTACAGGGGGCTGGTATGGTGGCACCTTTAGAGCCACAATATGTAAATCCTTCAACCAGCAGAAAAAGGTATAAAAAGACTGAATGTGAGCACAGAACATGGCGAGTAACAGGAGCACGGGGCGCTGACCTGTCATCTGGAGAACAAGTCTTATGAGGAGCAGCTGAAGGAACTGGGATTGTTTAGCCTGGAGATGAGGAGGCTGAGGGGAGACCTTCTCGCTCTCTCCAACTCCCTGAAAGGAGGGTGTAGGGAAGTGGGTGTTGGTCTCTTCTCCAAAATAACAAGTGACAGGAAAAGAGGGAACGGCCTTAAGTTGTGCCAGGGGAGGTTTAGATTGCATATTAGGAAAAAATTCTTCACTGAAAGGGTTGTCAAGTATTGGAACAGGCTGCCCAGGGAAGTGGTGGAGTCACTGTCCCTGGAGGTATTTAAAGGACCTGTAGATGTGGTACCTGGGGACATGCTCTGGTGGTGAACTTGGCAGTGTTAGGTTTATGGTTGGACTAGATGATCGTAATGGTCTTTTCCAATCAAACTATTCTATTTTATGATTCTATAATCTTGTGTTCAAGGCATAATATCTTTGCAGCTCTCCCCCTCAAAAAAAAAAAAAAAAATCCTATCTCAATATTTTGGATGGAGGAAAAAAAGACACACAGCCCCCAGTGCCTATTTAGGCAAGAAAACAAAATAGAGAAACTACATATTATAGCTTAGTTTCATTTAGTAAAAGGCAAAAACAACTTTCATTGACACAGGATAAATAAATACATAATGATGACGAAGCTGGCTGATCCAAATCCACATCCTTGTAACCTTTTTAAATCAATGGCATTACAGATATGTGACATCAGAACCACACGCTGGTAACTTATGGTAGTCACAGGGCATGTTGCGTAGTGCAGCGTAGTTTGTTAACCTTCAGAGTTAACAAATTTACCACTACTTACATCAGGGCTCAGCTCAGCAGCACTGCTTTTCCAGTGATGGCTTTAGAGTGTCAGTACAAGGAAAGTTCATACAATAACTCTTCTTTTTAAATAGAAAAGGTTATATGTATTACTGTATGTGTAAGATACAAGATATACATGTTCATATGTATTCACACACACAAATATTAGCTTATTGTTGACAGTTAATTTTAAAGCTGATTTTACAAGGTCTCAAAGAATTTTTCGGTTTTCATTGTCTTTGTTACTTTTCACTGCATTGGCACATAAAACCAGACTTTTTTCAATAGTGTGAGCTAATAAATTCAAGGAATCACTTACATAAAACTCATTTGGCTATCTAAGAATTAAAGAACTCAAGAATCTTCTACCGCCATTTGCCAAAATTGCTTGGAACAAAATGTGTATAAACCACCATAAGAAAGGAACAGAACTGTAATCCCAGTTCTCTTCCAAATAGCATTAGTACATTTCAACATAGCTATCACTCAGCATTTTATTTTTGACTATAATAATTCATTGCACTTAGTGTGGCTTATCTTAAAGTGATGCATAAAGAGAGAAATAATTTTATATCACCCATGGAACAATCAGGTTGTCCTCGGAGATGATGCATCACTTCTGGTTGGGAACTTAGCTCTGATTAGCAAGGTAATTAAATGCAAGTCTAAAGTGAAGCGTGTGAATACTCCTACTGTGTTCAGCAACACTGCTCACATGCTTCTGATTAGACACGATGTTCATGTACCTCACTACGCTTGCCCACAGCCAGCTGAGTTACACCTTACCAAAAGAAAGCGTAATGTAGAAAACAGTTCCTTTGTTACACATTAGCCTTTTGGAGAAAAATAGGGAAGAAAGGAAGGAAGGAAGGAAGAAGCAAATGGTGCTACAACGATGGCCTTTGTAATCTAACATGACCTAATGATGATTCTTGCCATCAAACATCCTCTTTTCAGTGTTCCTGCTGTGCGCTGGCTGGCTGTGATGGCTGTCCTACAGCTGACAGGACAGACAACTCTGATGAGAGGTGGCTCCAGCCTCGCTTGAAATAGAGCAGCTCCTCCTGAGGTGGGGCCAAAGTGGGACTGGAGGAGAGCTCCAGGAGGCATGTGGTGTCTTTGGCATGGTGGGAAGAAAGAAATGAAAATGTGAAAGTCCACTGGTCCCTGCCAACTGCTCTGGCCATCTGTATCATTCCTGTGTTTGAATAAAGAACTGGATCTGGTGAGAGTCTGATCCAGCCACCAAACATACTGTTAGGCCTTTGTAGGCTATATAGAGCAAGAAATAATACCTGTCCTTTATGGACTACTCGAATGAATGACGCAAACCTTATTTTGATTCCTTTTATCTTCCCCGTTTAGTTACTCCAGCACAGACAGCAGAGTAGAGAAAACTAAATTGCTAGTGACCTGAATTATTCATTCCTTTAATTAGGAACCGGTTCCAAAGATGTCATAGCCTTAGAAATGGAGCGTGACATAAAAAAGTAAAATAAATTAAAGCATGGTAAGGAGAGGGTGTAAAACACAGAGCTCAAAAGAAACATTAAGAAACCAGTCTGCCATGATTTTCAATTTTAATTGTTCTTTAGCCAAATCTGTACTTAAAACTGACTAATCAGATTCATCATTTTGAATTTTCATGCAAAATTATGCTCAAATTCTATTTATTCTTGCCCTACATTACTCAAGTAGAAGAAGAAACATTCTCCACTGTGGTCATCTTATCATATGACATTCAAATAAACCTCAAAACAGGTATCTGAAGCTAGATCAAAGCACACAGACACAGCTGTCCTATGATACCTGTAGTCGATTTCATCAAGTATCTAAAGGAACTGCAATGCCAGACACTTGGGAGAAAGCTGCAAGAAATCTTGGAGAAAGCAGTTACAGAATTTACCACCAGGTAAATTTCTTCCTGAGCCCCATTAACTACGTGTTGACTCTTAACTCTGAAGTCAGTTGATCTGCATCTCTTCTGAGATGCCTGTGTATTTTTAATTCTTACTGTTAACAACCGGGGTCTTATCGTAAACCACATAAATGTCTCCTTTTGTATTCTGCCAGTTCTTAACCTCAGTGACACTCTGTAAGAGTGAGCACCACATTCAAACTGAAAATACATTAATCTGCTTCATGTGATCAGCTTGAAGATGGTTGCTTTCAATTTCACTAGTGTCAGCTTCTCCCTTCATTGAAAGGAGAGGAAAAACAAGTACCCAGACTCCTGTGCAGTATAAGTTATACTTTCTGCCTCCAGTTTTTCTAAAGTTAGACTAGTACCTCAATAGCAGATATATAACCAAGTCTCTCACTTGAAAATTAACTCTATTTGCTGTGTGCTGCTTCCTTTCTTCACGAAATTTCAGCCGGAGTAGAGACTGTGGTCCATAACCAAGGTCCCTTGGAGATTGCTGATCAGAAAGAGCAGTAAAGCATTGATAGATGTAGCATGCAAAGATTTTAGCTTATGCTTACATGACCTTCTCATAAACACCATTAAGTTGTTTTGGACAGGTGCCACACTTGCAGTATGCACAGGAAAATTTCCTGCAAGCAAGAGAACCATTACAAGTTCTTCCTGATAGAGTTGAACAATATTTCATTGGGGAGAAAATGGGAAGAAAAGTGAGGTCATGGTGACAAAAAAGAAAGTAGCAAAGCGGAGACTGCTGTTTTTCAGTTCAAACACTGTGAGGTCGTGAAAGAACAGAAAAAGGCAGAAAAATAAGA